TGGAACCAACAACAGTATATTCATTTTGCTACGAGCTACTGTATTTATCAATTGACATTTGGCTTATTAAATAGGATATCTATAGGCTTTGTCCCAATTATATTTATGCCCCCATTTGAGCCGAGGTAACCATTAATAATAGGAACGGAGCTTCAATATTTGATTTGGGAGCCGAAAATATAATATGTATAAAAATTGATGAGTAGGAGGTTACAACCAAAATTTTATATTTTTGGGTCTGATATGAATAAAATTAAAACATATGGACTATTTCTAACCAAAAAATCAGCAGGGGCCACAGCCCCTCTCGACCCTAATAAAGCAACGCCCATGACTAATCCACTACTTTATGATCAACGACTTTATAAAACTAGATCAAACAAACAATGATGCATTCTTACCCTAGAGATCCCTAATTTGAACATTAAAGTGGAGTATTACCCATGAATATACATATGCCAATAAATCAATAACAGGGTTATATAACCCTACTAGATCACTTTCAAGTTTCAATGCTAACACTATCTTTTATATTATTTATAATTATAATGTAAAATAACACTTTCAATGTTAACACAATATACTTAACAATAAAAAAATATTTTAGGTATATTTTATTATCAAACTTTTATAATGTAAAAAACAGTGTTGATGAATAGTATAATATTATATTTAGTATTATATTACTCATAAACACTATACAAACTACAAAGTGTTAGGTTTAGTGTGAGGTCAGAGCATTTTAGTGTAAAAATGAGTTTGATTCGGACCCCCAATCATTTTCTTACTTGCAACATGATAGACTCAATAATAAATGTTGTTTTTACAAGAATAAGTTAGGAAGAGAGTGATGTTAAGAAATTGTTGTATTACTTGCTGAAGAATGAACGAGTACAAGAAGCATTTATACATAGGAAAAATAACAAATCTAACTAATAGTGTAATAGGTCTAATTGACAATAACTAACTAGAGTTAAATTATGAAATTGCCCATGGAGAAACAATTTACTAAAAGGCACTTCTTACACATTGTTGTCCTAATAGTTATGGTACAAGTTTACTTGCGAACAATTCAACAAGCAATTGGAAAAACCATGACCAATAACTATTTTGGGTGCGGTCTAAACAAATTTGAGCAAGTAATTTGACAGCATTTTTAGGAATTAATTAAGACCTCATGATGCACTTTGAATGGTTTCCCAACTAAAATGTTAGTGATTTTTATCATCGGTATTATTGAAGTGTAATAGAATTAATTTGTTGAATGATATAATCTTAATAAATAAGAATGCACAATTGTTTGAGTTTATTCTGATTTAAAGTGCGCATGTATCTAAGGGTGAAATCTAGTAGTGGGGTCCAAGGGATGGCAATCCCTGGCGAGGTCCAAAAGACAAATCCCCTGTTTGGGTTTAATAATAGTTATGTGGTGATTTTGTAACTCTCATATGACACTATTCACAAGTTTTTCAAACACTTGATCATTATTTCGTTTTTGGTCCTTTTTGAATTTGGAACAACAATCGTAACATTCCTCATTTTCTGTTCAAGAATCATTAAGTTTTTTCCAATTGATTTTTTGTTTTACTATCGAAATATTTCTATCTGAAAGTGTATCCCGACTTTAGTGAAAAAGCAAACACCAAAAATTTCTAACATAAAACTCAAAGAAGATAACCTAATGGTTAAGACTTAAGAGCAGTGTAATACCTAACTAAATCAGAGAAGATAAAGAAATGTACAGTACCTAACTAATATAGGATTAACTATTAACGATTAGTTATAATACACTTTCTTTTTTTCAAACCGATATACGTACATTATTAATTGGATAATAAATGAAGCTTAAATAAGATTGTATACACGTCATTATTTTTAAGTTTGACACAAATATACACAGATAATTATTGGTCCATTCAAAAAGGGTGTTCGTGGTGGCCAATTATGCAAGAACTTTTCCGTTGTACGACTGTTGGGTTAAACTTAGAAGATTTACACCAATTGCCGTCAAAAAGTTATTATAATACAAAATCTTTTTGACGTACGTTGCAAATAAATTCTTCTAGAACGGAAGGTTTTTTTTTTTTTTTTTTTTTTTTTTGTAATTGTAATTACGGCTAAATTTCATATTTTAAAACAAATGACAATTATTGTATATAAACAAGAAAACTTCATAAATGTAAAATACTCAAAATAAAAATAAAAATGGTTATTTGACATGTTTTTTACTAGTTTACTAAAATGTTGAGTCTAACCAAGGCAAATTCAGAATATCGGGTGAGATAAAAAGTTGGTTACAGTTAATTATCAAAAAGCCTGTAAATACCTATTGAAATCAAGATAAAAACAAAAGATGCTGAATTTAGACCTTGAACAAATAAAGCTCAGTTGATCACGAAATACCAAATTTGTTATATTTATTTATAAACTAAAAATATCATGTTATATGATTTTTTTTTCATGTCATACTCTTATTCAATTTGTTAAATATCATTTTTTTATTATTTTGTTCGTAGGTTTTTCTATTTTAATAAATTCAAGGGTAAATTACACCATTCGTCCCTCGGGTAGGTGCCAAAAAGCATGTTTAGTCCCTATTTTTAAAAATTAACTCGGACCATCCATCTTTTGCTTAAAACTTGCACATTGCGTCCCTAATATGCTTTTTTGTTGCAAATGTAGTCTGTGACACATTTAAAATGACCATAATGCCCTGGATATTTATTTTTTTAACTAATATAATATTATTTATTATTATTATTTATAACTTACAGAAAAGAAATTAAAAAAAAAACAACCCTCTCTTTCTTTATCTCTCTCAGTTACGCTCCACCTCCGATGTCTCTCTCTCTCTCTCTCTCTCTCTCTCTTTCTCTCTCTCTCTTTCTCTCTCTCTCTCTGCATTCATGGTCAACACCTACTCTTAGTTTCCCCAACCCATCTGCCCCATTCACTTCGAAACCCTTACGCTATTGTTATTGATCGAAGATAACAGAGTAACCCACAACACCCACACCCACACCCACATGTGTTTAGATGTGATATCGAGATAGAATCTAAGTGAGATAGAGATGTAACACGGTATAGAGAGATGGGAGACAGAATTGACGAAAGGGAAAAAGGATACCAGAGGAAACAGGTGAGATAGAGATGTACCACAATATAGAGAGAAATACTTGATTTCAATTTTGATTTTGTGTTTCCTCCTTTATCGGCATCAAATCTAGAAATTGAATCTGATTCCGATTTTGATATTGATTTTGAGTTTTAGGTCATGTTAGGATTGATTTTATTTTGATGGATTCACCTTGGACTTAATTTCGATCGGTTACTTGTTTCGACTTTGAAGATGAAGATACGTTAAGACTTTGATTGCAATGAGATGTCGTGAACTCGTGCTATTGATTGCTTATGGGTTTCATCTGTGTTGATTGAATCTAATTGGTATTTTAAGGTTTCAAATATTGAATTGTTGTTTCGATGGTGATGGATATGATTCATAGAAATAACTTTCTATAGGAGCAGTGGATGGATCAATATGATCATTAGGATGGTATTGGGTTTCACCAAGAAGGCAAACAGGTTGAAATTGGTGATGGTCTCTAGTGTTCTTAAGGCAGATGGGGAGAACGAAGATAAGGGATGGTGGTTTGGGGTCTGATTTTGGTTCACCGATTTGGGATTTTAGATGGTTGTCAGGAATGGGTGAGAAGAGGGAGACGAAGGTAGAAGAAAACTGGGGAAAAGAAGGGGAAGGTGTTTGCGGTGATAGGATGTGGTGGCATAGGTGTTGATATTGATAGGCGGTGGTGCCGGTGGAGCTGACGGTGACATGTGGTGTTGCTTTCGAATCTTGTTGCAGAAGCTGGGGAAATGGAAGGGGAGGGGGAGGGGTGAGGATATTTGTTTCATTATTATTATTTTAAATTTAAACTAATAAAGAAATAAAAAAATATAAAAAGAAATTATTAAGGGCAAAATAGTCATTTCATGTCAATAAGGATGAACTGTGTAAGTTTAAAACAAACAAGGGACCATCCGAGTTAATTTTTAAAAATAGGGACTAAACGTGCTTTTTGGCACATGCACGAGGAACGAATGGTGTAATTTACCCTAAATTCAACATAATATTTTAATGTAATAATTTTAAAAAATATATTAATAAATGAATATCGATTTCATTAATGAATTTATTTTTTTATTTCAAAATTACCAAATTAAAATTCATTAATTTAATTTGTTTATTTATTTAAATTTAAAAGATAAAAAATCAATTTTAATAATTCATTATTTTTTTTTATAAATCCAAAATTTTTAAATATTTAGATTTTTATATTTAATTTTTTTAATTAATCTATTTAATACATGAGTCTTGTACCTATACATAGGGTTGTAAACGCAACGAACACGAACAAGGTCTTGTTCATGTTCGTTCGTTTAAGTTAGCCGAACAACAAACGAACACGAACGGATAAACGAACGAGATTTTCTTGTTCATGTTCGTTCGTTTAACAAATTACCTTGTTCATGTTCGTTCATTTATGTTCGTGAACATGCTAAACGAACATAAACGAAAAAACATAAACGAACAAAGATAAAAAAACACACACACACAATTGAGCATATATGAACATAGAATATAGCAATATAATAAAAAATAATTGAATATAAATGAATATAAATAAACTTAAACGAACGAACATAAACGAACGTTCACGAACATAAATGAACGAACGAGATCATTGTTCATGTTCGTTCATTTAAGTAAACGAACGATAATTTTTGTTCATGTTCGTTCGTTTATTAAATAAACAAACATAAACGAATTTCCCGCCGAACAGTTCACGAACGGTTCGCCGAACATTCAGTTCGTTTACAGCCCTACCTATACCTACTAATTAATATAATATACTAAAAATATGATTATTTGTTATTTGTTGTTTCCTTTTTTGGTATTTTTATGATTGTCTCCGTTGGCTTTGAAAAATACTTTTCATGCATGAATTTGGAACATTATATATATGGATAACGGAATCCATCAGCCTCACAGCAATTTTGACCTTCTTCATTATATCTCTTTTCTGTTCGAACGTTTTTTTTTTCTGCATCAACTAAATGGGCTTCCTCCTTCTTGCAGCTCTCTCGCTTTCCATATTCACACTTTGCTACCTCTATTTCAAATTCATTAAAACTCCGCTGGAGATCCAACGTCTTTTCCGTCAACAAGGCATCGGAGGACCAAGTTACAACCCCATCTCCGGCAACTCCGACCAGCTTCAACGCCTGATCATGGCGGAAGATAAATTGTCGTCCATGTCTGAATCGTTCAACAACAGTCAAGTGGTTCGAAAGGTAATGCCATTCTACTACTTTTGGTCAAAGATATATGGGGACCAATTTTTTTTTTGGTTCGGGTCAAAACCCAGGTTAGCCATTACCGATCCGGATATGATCAAGGAGATCTTATTGAATACCAGTGGATCGTTCCCGAAAACACGAGTTAACCCGTTGGTCAAGGGTCTGTTCGGCGACGGGATCGTGTATCTGGAAGGAGATCAGTGGGCTGTTCATCGAAAGATCACTAGTCAAGCTTTTAACATGGAGAGGATTAAGGTAATGATACATCATCGTTCATTTTCATAGATTTTCTAACTTCGTTAATGTGTTTATGGACTAAAAGAGGACGTTGGTTTATCAGGAATTAGTCCCTGAAATTGTGGCTAGCACCAAAAGCTTGCTAGATAAAATGGGAGCAAAAATGTGTGTGGAAAACAGTCTCGAATTAGACGTATACAAAGAATTCAACAACCTCTCAGCAGACGTAATATCAAGAACTGCATTCGGTAGCAATTTTGAAGAAGGAAAGCGCATCTTCGAGTTGCAAGATCAGCTTGTTAGGATCGCATCGGAAGCCATACGAAGTGTTTACATTCCCGGATTCAAGTATGTTACGTACTACCATTTCTTTTCGTTCCATGTGTTCATGCATTAACGTTTTCTACATGTATACAGGTATCTTCCAACCAAGAAAAACCGTTTAAGCTGGAACCTTCAACGAGAATCAAAAGAGATGATTACGAAGATTGTCGAGAAGAGTAACAAAACGAAGGAAAACCCTAAAGCTCTACTTTCGTTGTTAATGTCTCCTTACAAGACGGGGAACATAGAGAAGAGACTCAGTCTCGATGAGATTGTAGACGAGTGCAAAACATTCTATTTTGCAGGCAAGGAATCGACAGCCAATCTTCTGACGTGGGTTTTTGTTCTTCTCGGATCAAATCAAGAATGGCAGGAAAAGGCTCGTGAAGAAGTATTTCGGGTCTGTGGCAACGACGAGATTCCTTCAGCTGAGCATCTGTCCAGCTTCAAGATGATTAGCATGATACTAAACGAAGCACTTAGACTCTATCCTGCAGCTCCAATATCTGTGCGAGAAGCCAGCTGCAAGGATGTGAAGCTTGGAGGACTCCAGATTCCGGCCAAAACACAGCTTTTTTTGGCCATGGCTGCTGTTCATCACGATCAGAAGATATGGGGAGAAGATGCACAAAAGTTCAACCCCATGAGATTTATAGATACCAAAATACAACACATGGCCTTCTACTTTCCTTTTGGTCTAGGCCCTCGTAACTGCGTTGGGCAAAATCTGGCGATTGTTGAGGCTAAAATTGTTGTGGCTATGATCCTTACGAAATACTGTTTTGTGGTTTCACCGTCGTATGTTCATGCCCCAATCCAGGCTCTAACGGTTCGACCACAATACGGTGCACCAATGATCTTTACTATGGTTTCAAGTTGATACGATGATCGTGATGTATATTGAGTTTAATGAATATTGTTTAACCCTTGATCATGTTGCACGACTAAAATTTTCATACACCATCTTGTAAAAACGTGAATTCCAATTGAAAAGTTTGGTTCTTACTCCCCAATTGCCAACTTGACGTGATCAATGATGATATCCTTAGTGAAGAACAATAGAATTAAATTAGATAGTTAATAAATTAGAGTTGTGCGAACGAATCAGCTTTGAATTAATATTAAAATTAAAAATGACGGGGGCAATCGTTTTTAATATATTTTCAGGTGATTATAGTTAATTCTTAATGAAAAATTTAATTATTATATTGTTTTTTAACGGAAGTCAAACTCAACGTTCAAACATTTTTATTGGAACCCAATAACCACTCCATCATTATTATATTGTTGTTGTGAGAAGATCCAATCACATTATATTTTTTTTGTAAACTTTGTTAGTTGAATTAATTAATATATATTATTGGATAAATAACTTTTGACTTTATATATATATATATATATATATATATATATATATATATATATATATATATATATATATATATATATATATATATATATATATATATATATATATATGAGAAAAGTGAATATACCCTTAAGGGTATATATACTTAGGTACCCAAATTCATAATAATACGTCGTTTTGTTTGATATATCTATTATAATATTGTTAAACTTTAATCCTTAAATTGATTTATATTCAATATTTTTAAATTTTCACTATCATCTTCCTCTTACATCACATCTTTTCGTCGAACACTTACTAGACTATATATTATTGTTGAAAATGACAATTATGTAAGAGGAAGATAAATATGAAATTTATAAAAATCTTTGAAGTAATTCAAGTTAGAACATTGGATAATTATAATGTTTATATACGATACAAAACGATATATATATATATATATATATATATATATATATATATATATATATATATATATATATATAAGTTTTGACACTTTTTTACCATCGAAGTCTAAAAGTTAACTTGATTTAGCCATTTAATATCTCATCACATTAAATTGTACTCTAAAGTTTGAGTTTTGACTTGTTTTGCCCCATATAATTTTATGTAGTCAATTACCCGTGTCTTCTGCCTACATGACATCATATATTAGACATTAGACCGGAGGGTGTGGGAGGGAAGCTTCCTTCACTTTTTGTGGGTCATACCCTTTTTTCCTTCATTTTTCTTTCTCTCACCTAAAAGCTAAAGAATTTGTGGGAAGCTGTTCCCTCACTTTTTTTAAAAAAAAAACATTTCATACATATATTATATTCATTTTGTAGGGAGTTAAAACCAATGAATTTTGATATATTTTTTATATTTCTATAGTATATATATATAATTTTATAAATATTAAAAAAGATAAAAAAAAAAAAAACAAAATAAAATTGTCCAATAACATGAAGAGAGAGAGAGAGTACGACATCCACTCCCCCCACCTCTTTTCCGCAGGTTCTTTCTCTCACCTAAGGAGTGGTGTTCAAGAGTGATGAAACTTCTCTCACCCCTTTTCCCGCTCTCACTCCGTCCAGCCTTAGACTTTTGATCACATTAAATGAAACCACAAGCTTTTAACTTTTTTTTATTAAAGTAAAAAAAAAATCAATTTATTTTTTTATTTTTTTAGCCAAAACTAAACTTTGTTTTAAGTTTTTCTTTTATTTTTTCGTATTTATTTATTTCTTGTTTTTTTCATCAACTTGATAACTTTTTTTTGACATTTTCCAAAAATGTAAAATGTATGAATAGATTATAATATGTTATAATTTTGGCCTCGGACTTTTTTTTATAACTTTAGTTATTTATATTTTCTCAAAAAGTATAAATTAGTGAATATATATCAAAGTATATTAAAATTTTAGCCTTTGAGTTTTTTTTTTCTAATTTTTTTATTTATATTTTTTCTAATATTTTTTTTATTTGAATTCAAGTAAATAAAATAAATAAAAACTTCAAAAGAATGTCAAAGTATAAACAAAAAAAAGTCAGTTTTATGATTTTTTTAATATATATATATATATATATATATATATATATATATATATATATATTATTCATGTTCATTTTAAGTTTACACTTAAAATAACAAATTATGGAACAATTTATATGTAAATCTACTTATAATTTATTTAAAAAACTTATAGGAAAACATTGTAATATACTATATTATATTCATATACGTTTTACATTTTTTTGGAAAAGATAAAAAAAAAAAGTTATCAAAAAATAAAACTAATAAAAATAAATAAATAAATACAAAAAAGAAAAATAAAATAGACTACAAAAAATATTATGAAAAAAACTTAGAACCGAGTTTAGTTTGTACAAAAAATAAATAAATAAATAAACCGAATAAAATTTAAAATTTTAAAAATCATATTAATAAAAAAAATTCAAATTTTCAAAATTTGGGATCTAATTTAGCATCATCAAAAGTTTATGGTCTAATATAGGATATCACCTGTGTATGAGAACCATGTAGCTGGCTATAGGAGGTCGTTAGAGGAAAACAAATCAAAACTCAAATTTTATGGTTTAATTTTGCATGATCAAATCTTCAGCGGTTAAATCGAGTTAATTTTGAGATTTTGATGGTGAAAATATCAAAACTCCTATATTTACGATATCACACCGAAGATTTGTTGTGATCAAAGTTTGCCTAGAAAAATGTACCAATATACATCGTTCTATGTTCCAAACATTTGATGTGAAGAACTAGCCTTAAAAGTTGAAAGTCATAAGTGTAAACACTTTATTTTGATTATTATTAAACACTTCACAACCTATTACTCATATATCCACTTTGTCATTTCCTTGATTCACTTTGTCAAGTGATTCCAACTTGATATAGACATTGTAGACTATTGAGATTTTATGTGAATGATTTATGATTGCACTAGTACTAGAGAGAGGACTCATGTCCCATGGTTTGAGTTACACTTTTAGTGGAGTTCTATGTAGTGGATCGATTTTAAAGAGTTAATTAGGCACATCAAATAATAGTAACCGTACGTTGCAAATAGCTCTTTCCTAACTCTTTTATACCTTTTTTTTTTTTTTGTATAAATATATTGTAGTTTCTCATTTTCCTAACTCTTTAATACTTGTTTTGCAAATCGCTCTTTCCTAACTCTTTTATACTTATTTTGTATAAATATATTGTACTTTCCCGTTTGTGTTATATTTTGTTCTCAAAAGATATTTTGATGTAAACTTTTGTAAAATGTCTTTAAAGAACGACAGCCAATAAGCACGCTTCACTTTCGTGGACCATGCTCAAATCCAGCTCATGCCAACAATGCTGCTCAGCAGCCCACGTAGAAAAATAGTCATGGGCAATTAGTAGCTGTCAGGGCCAAAATGATACCCCATTTTGGGATCCATAAACCCATAGTTGGCCCACTTGGATTTTCAAAACTAGCCACATATACGATTGTGAACCATGGTACTAAATGCTACACATCATCTTGATGAATTTTTATAGTTAGGTACATATAAATAAAAGTTGACATTTGGATTTTCGATAAAAAAAAGTTAGAAATTACATTCTTATAAGTGTAAAGTCTAAAGTCAAACAAGTAAAAAAATTACTTGGTAATACATATGGAAATGTACTCGATATACATATAGAAATTTACAGATCTATTTTAAGTCGGCTGTAGAACGTTGAATATCCGATTTTAACTGGATTTGATTGGTTCCAAAAGATCAATATTCGAATTGGATTGGTCAGCTTTTGAATCACAATGCATATCCAAAAGATCAATATCATCCAATTATCGTCAACCCATCAAACATATTCAAGAAGTTAATTAGGAACTCGTGCAACACACTATGTTAGTGTGTTGCTACAAAATTAACTGTTATTTCCCTAAAAAAAATCCACATTTGACATTTAAGTGCCGAAGGAGTTGATGCAAATCGTTTTGATTTTAAGCTAAATGTTTATTATTCTATTGTTTTAGTTAGGTTGAATTTTTTAAATCATATATATTTTGAAGTGTATACACCTAACTCCTCTTCTTTTATTGTTTCTGTTAGTGAGACAATAAAAGAAATATAAATGATGAAACGAAACATTGGCTTTTAATCTTGAAGTGACACATTGCCAGCAAACCCTAGTTACTAACTAAGTTAGTGGTTACTATGATGCATGGGGGATCTCTACTTAAACTATTCATTCCATCAGTCAACAACATAGGCAAAGGCATGTGCAATTACTTCAAAAGTAAGATTTGCTCTTGGTGGGGGGCGGAATTGTAAAACTAAAATGCAGGCTGGGACCCTACAACTCCTCACACGATATAATTCAATCCTTTGGATTGGAAGAGGCATTAAGTGAAATACTAGTAAAATAGCCAGAAAATTACAAATTGAAACAAACATATCTTCATATAGAAATAAACAAAAATGTCTTCAATCGAAGATACTACTAATCCATGTCTACAAATCCAAGAAAATTGCAATTTCAAAATAGGCATATCAAAACCTAGTGTGTGAGCACATTTGACAATGTCAATAATCCTTCTATCAAACAGACATTATGAAGCATAAACGCCCGTTGCTTTTAAATTATGAGACAATTTCAATTGGTTTATTTGGTAATAAAATGCTACAAGTTTTTTTTTTGAACCGGCAAATCTAATCTACTCCTAAGCTAACAACACCTATTTCACCTATATCCACGACGACGGGACTTGAACCCTCGACCTCAAAGAGGGAGGGCACCACCTGATACCGCTGGGCTACAAGCCCTTTGGTTAATATATGTAATATGAGTATATGACTAAAAAGAATACGATTTTATGCTTTGGCATATTGGTTGATTAAGCTTTACAGTGAGCTCGAAAAGGAGGGTATTTGCTACTTCAACTCTTCCTGTTATTCAAACTGCCAACAAGTTATCCACTTGTTTGTTTAGAACAAAAAGGGTTCCCATATGAAGGTTATGTTATTATCGGGTTTAAAAATGACAATTATATAGTGAATGTTGAAATATTATGTTCATATGCTTCAAATTTAAATGTCTATGCAAAGTAT